GTATGGCACGAGAACGCTTGCATACAACACTCTTACGAGTATGGCACGAGAACGCTTGCATACAACACTCTTAAGGGTCGACAGATCACTTTTGCAATCACTCAATTCGTGCAAGGATGCTCTTATTGTATTGGAACGCTTGGATATATCACTATTGGGATAGGACACGCCACATACTGCATTTTTCAATCAAATGCAAACTGCGCATGTTTTAATTGCTTAATCACAAGATACTTACCCTAGCGAGTAACCCTTTATAGCTGACTACCAATCAACTCGACCCATTGCAACTTGCTGTCAGTCAACCAACTTGCATACCAACGTGTCAATCAACCAGACCTTTCAAAACTGATTGTCAATCAACGACACTCGTTGCAACTGACTGTCAATCAACTACACCTATGACATCAAGGGTACATTATCTGACTTTTAAGCTTTATTTAAAAACGTTATAATTTACTCATTACTTTACAACATAACTATGACAAATTTGCACAACGATCGTCGTGAAGTTATTTAAAAAAAAACATAAAAATAGCCTGCGCGCTAAGATCAGCAGTGTTTTTAAACACATRACTTTTTTCTCATTTTCTTCTTATATTACAAAATACATCTGACAAATTCTATCGTACATATAGTTCAATATTTCCCTTTTAGCTTCGCTCGCGGGACTTATCGAATTATTTTTTTACATAACTATTCTTTCGATTTTCTAAGCATATCTTTATCATTTACTTGTCTTGATCCTCTTGCAATGTTTTTATTTTAATTTGTCGGCCAATCACAAGTCCAGTAGGATTAATTTATTCAAGTMTAATTTTAGCAAAAGTACACATCAGTTTCGAACTCCAACCTTTGCGTAAAACAGATGCTGTGCGTAAAGAATCCCAAATCTGTAAAAGGACAGGTTTTCGAAATTCAAATGTCTTTGGTACGCATGCGCTCAACTCCCAGCAGAAACAGTCTTTCAAGCAATGTCAACGTTCAACCAAAAATCGCAAAATAAAGCGCCTTCTCTCCCAAAAGCTACAGGAATTGCTGGTTCATATTTACTTTATATTTAAATGTGAACCTCAATCATTTATCTGTGTAATTTCCATAAAGTCGTTGTTATTACTAGAGCATCTTGGCCACCAGTATTAGAGGTATACAGCTGAAAAAGCTTGACTTAAGAGAGCGCGCATCATTTGATACGGYTTCAGCCATTTCAACGCCTTGCACACCTGAACCCTTCGTTCCTTTGCTAGTCTTGCCTTTTCGTTTAGGTGTGGTCTTCTCTCCGTCTCGCTTCAACGTCGGGACAGTTAGTATAGGATTTATAACGGGAGGCTTAGGGTAACGAGTCGATGGCTTCTTAGTTGGTTCAGGAGTAGGAGGAACAAAGTTCGTGTTAAATGAAGAACACCTAAGCATTGGGATTTGGTACGATGTTGGGCGCGTCGAAGGGGARGTTGGACTCTTATTATTGGTTGGTCGTTGTCCCACGTACAACTCACGATCCCCATTTTCATTGAAGTCCATCTTGAGTAAATCATACTCGGTGTGCGGAAGGCTGATTCCATACATGCGACATCCTTTGGACTGCGAGATGTCCATAGCAACACCCGTGACCCATTCACCATCTTTACCACATTCGTTGTTACGCGAGACTGAATTTAGCGCGCGAGTAGTSGCTCTATCATGCGGTGTGAGAGCAGCCTCGGTAAGAGTGAATACATAATCCTCTCCTCCCTTCACCTTAGTAGACCGGCTTCCCCCCGAAAATACGCCTTTTCCATAAAGCGTAAACATTAGCCTCTTGCAGTATGGGTCCATGAAGTAGTTAAAGTAGCCCTCCCAATGGCGCCTCTTGTAGTGAAAYACCATATAACGCGTCAAGAAACTGCCTCCRGGTCGAGTCTCGCACGTCCAGCTWCCCCAAGCGTCGTCTAGCAAGACAGGTCGGGGACGAATCTTCGGGAAAGTCGGAGGGTGCACCGCTGTTGATCCTCTAATCGTCCTACACACAGTACAGTTGCGAGCGTTGTGTCTCTTAAGGGGAAGTTGATAAGACGTCGGATTGTATTTTCGTCGGCTGCGTCCAGTTTGAACTTCGCCGAAATACAAGACATCATACTCAGAGCCCTTTCCTCTTCGTGTGTCTTTCTTGACAATCGATAGTTCGTRCCTSGAGATCCCAAACGATGTCCTACAATTTTTTTTGTTAAAGACTTGTAGTTGTGCGGAATAGACTCCAATCCCGGGGTCTGTTTTGATGTTGGTCAACGTATTTTGGCACGATCGTTTAGCCACGTTCAAGATACTCCTCTCGACTTCCGCGGTGTGCGGGTAAATGGTAATCGACGAGTAGTTAAAGTTTGTCTCTGTAGAACCCGCTATCAATACCGACGCCTTGTTTCCCATCTTGTAGAATCCTTTAAAGAGTAAAGTAAAGCTCGGCTTGGTACACTGATAATCGGAGTAGTGGTGATAACGGGCCTGCCATGTGGAGTTGCGCAAGATGTTGAAGTAACGCGTCACAAACTTTGGCCCTGGACGAACCTCGCATCTGGAGATAAAACAGTGAAAGATTGATTCATTAAGACTGCACTTTAGCGGAAAATCTGTCAATGGTTTGATGCCAAACGTTTGTGTATTTAAGGGGATGATTGGTTTGGTTCGGAAAGGCGTTGCTGCAAGAAGAGCCACTTGACTCTAGTTCTGCCTATTGCGGCTAGTCTTAGACAGTTTTGCATAGATGAGCGTGTGAGCAATGCACGAGTGATAGTGCTATTTATATCACCAAKGTCATGAATGCATTCTTTTGCTAAGATCAATAGCACAACCATATGGCACCTCTAAATAGATGATGATGATCAGTATGAAAATATACAGAAATAATATCTAAAGAGTAATACAAAATACTACTGAGCAGCGCTATTTAATGGAAAGCAGCTAGTGGGGGGCGTGTTTTGATTTACAATACTGCTGCAGCAGCAGCAGCAGCAGCAGCAGCAGTAGTAGTAGTAGTAGTAGTAGTAGTAGTAGTAGTAGTACTAGTAGTGTTAGTAGCAGTAGTGTTAGTAGCAGTAGAAGTGATAGTGGTAGTAGAGCAACAGCAGCAATGGTGATGGTAGTAGAAAGAATAGTCAACGAAATACAAAGTAGAAGACACAAATTCCATCGTTTTCCTTCGTTTCGCTTTGACTGTCAGTCACTAATTATACAACTTTGTTTCATGGTTCAAGTAAAACCACTCCAGTAGTAGCAGTAATAGCAGAAGCAGTAGTTGCAGCAGTAATAGCAATATTGGCAGAACTCGTTGTTGATGGCATTTTAATACCATTCATTTAATAAATTTAATAAAATCGAGGGGAGAGAGAAGGAGATCGGAAGAGAGAAAGAGAGAAGAACAAGCAGCATACTGCGTGACATCACATGATAGGATATTTTAAAATAATCTTCTCACATCATTTAACATGTTTTGCACCCAAAGAATGTTCACAATTTTTACGAAACCTCTTCACATCTAAGAGCTTGTTAAGAGTAAAAACATTTCTAAAGTATGCTCGTTGGCCCCCCACAACGATTTACACTCAACTCGACCAGTACTTATGATGAAGAGTGCACCAAGCAGAATTCATGCACCAAGCCTGCCAGCCACATGCTCTCAAATTGCCTTCTAACTTCGAATCACCATATCCATCGCGTGTCTAATAAACCCTGCAGTCACGGTTTTACAAGCCTACTTAATGTTACAAATGATATTTTACTACGGCACACAGTGACCTTCTGCAAGCAGATAAGGTACACGTGAGAAGACAGGCGGCCTTTCAACGGCCTAGCTGGCAGTGATCCAAGYTTCTTAAACAATCCAAACAAATATGCATTACGATTTGAAGAGCTATCCCAACCCAGGAAARCTAGTGATCTGTTATGGAGAACGCAACACGATAGTGTTTGCATGACCCCAGCCACATTCTATCGCTTGATCGTAACATTAACTTAGAAAAACATAGTTAAAACGGCCAATGACCACATACCGAAGATGAATTTCCGGATAGATCACCTTTGCGCGGAAAACAGGGTTCGGCCAATCAAAAATGTGAAATTAGAAACTAAGGAATAAGCTGATCAAGACACTGCAGAACAAATCCATCTTTTAATACTATCATCAAAGAAAGCTGTACCGTCCAACTGAGSCTTATTTAAGCCGTTTTTATAGGCTGGCTTAAGAGATAACAGAGCAAAATTCAATTTTATAAAGTTCGCCATTAAGAAAGCCTTTTCAATCGTCTGTTTTTTGTGACTGTGATTTGATATGTCGTTTTCCTGACTGCATGCCTAAAATAGYACGAGATCAACCTTAAATATATCTATTTGGCAAAATTATACTAGAAGGTAAATGTTAAAGAGATAGCCGATGTTTTTCTGGACGTGAAGCAATGTAAACAACAACAGAAAACAGATGATATTCAAACAAAAACGACCTTCTAGTCCATTCCATGTCAACTTAAAACAACCGAATGACAGACTTTATTTGACTTAGAGATAAGTTGTTGCGAGCTTTTGATGATTATTTTACAAAGAATATACACACATCGTACAAGTGTTTTCCTTCAACTACATTAAGCTTGGATCACAATAGTCTAAAAATAACTAAGCGAAACGCCGCGGGTGCAAATCGYTCCTTTCCTGGTCATAAATGTGACCGGCGGAAAGTCACATCTCGACGATGAAAAAATGCTACTTTGTTCCGAAGTCCTTTGAAAACATTTCACTAAATCAGATAGGATTAAAAAGTGGTTTCCCTTATTTGACATTTCTTCAAAGGCACTCTAATTTTAAGTACGTGCACTTTGTCAAGCTTTAGCTTTTTACTTTCCTCCTAATCGTTTCTCACCTTTCATCGTTTCCTTTCTTTCCTTCCTTGTTTCCTCTTGCTTCCAAGAGTTCAAATTATTTCTTTCTATATGTTTCTTTTACGCTTCTTGCAAGCCATCCTTTTGTTTTTATCTCTTTTTTCAGTTTCTTTTTTTTTTTTAATGCTTTTTTTCCTCGTCCCTCTTTCTTTGTCTCAGACGCTAGCGTGTTCACATTCTTGCATATATCCTATCATTGTCATCTCCAACAGCAATGTTTTTTCTCTAATCAAATTCTAATCAAATCCGATAAAATTGAACGGGAGGATAATTTTATCTCTTCTAAGCACGTATACGTCTAGTGTTTCTTAGCTCTCCACCAAGACATGAAGATTGTTTATCCAACCTTTACCAATTAAGCGCTTTCCTTTGAAACGGTGCTCCATCGATAAAACCTCTCTGGATTATTAAAAAAACGTCCTTTTCATGTACGCGATAATCATAGATGTTTACCGCACGGCAGCGTGCGCATTGTTCTGTACAAGAGTCAAAACAAAAACCCCACTAACCRAACAGCAGGGGTTCTGTCATTTAAACTTCGACACTTATTACAATGTCCTAATTTAGGAAAAATGAAGAAAACGACCACAATGGAATCTTGGCCATTGAGAAACCACGAACGACCCTCAACGCCAAAGAATATCCAGAAACAGGAACCATCGCGTCTGTTACAATGTAAAAATTATCTTTCCACCGTCTCGGTAATTAAATAACTTGATTAAATCTCTGTTACGCGCTATTGAAATCGTTATTGGAAGTTGTTCGGATGTCTTTTGACTGGGGTTGAAAATTCAGCTTTTAATTCTAGTAGACTGATGATAACGATGAAGCAGGGTTAAGATAATCTATGGAATGCTGGCTTTCTGCTTCAGCTATCGATAGAAATCTTGCTTGTACGTTGGATTGTARTTTTGTGATTTTTTTTATTTTGAGATCGATTCAGGCAATTAATGTAACCTTCTCGCGATTGATTAATTGCCCGAACATTGAATCAAGGCTAAACGCGGTACTTTACGTCATACTGAGTATTAGAGAACAACATTTGAAATTAATTTGCAGTACTAGTGTTGGACTTTATGTGTTGAATGATAAGAGAGTTGATGAATCGATCTTGACTTGCCTGCTGTAATTGCGGGGTTTCTCAGGCCTTCAAACAGATCTTTTTATTATTATGATCTATACGGAACCCAGGGGGTCGGCTTGGAGAAACCTTGAATCTTTCACCGATCTTACACACGCATCATTCTAGCTTCGCTTTGTCTAGCAATTAGTCCTCTTGCTGCACGAAACGTAACTCGTGATAGCATAGCGTACTTGAACGCGAGGTTTATAGTCAACGAGACCACTTATCCCAAACATATTCATAACTACCCCATTAGACCATCAGTCAAGATACGGAGGATAGAATCATGTTTGTAATATTTGTACTGTTCTGTACAATATTTAAGGACTAATGTGTCTTACCTCGAAGAGGTCCATTCTCCTTCGATATTGGGTCGTATTCTGGACTGTAGGCCMGTGTAGTGGTTGATGTAGCGGACGATCTGTTTGCAATTACCATCAACTGATACACTTTGCATGAGGACTACAAGAGAATCAMTAACGTTGGAAGTGTTTAAGAACTGACGAGATTCTTATCAAGATGGGGCATGGGAAAAGCATGGTTTGCACTCGTTCCATGTTGAAAGAAATAGCCTTATCACCTTAGCCATGTAAAACCATTCAACGAATCAACGAAACTTACCTAATGAAAGCCAAATGTAGACAAACATCGAGGTAAACCGTGCGCCTTTCATGACTATTAGTGGTTTCCAAGTGTTAAGAACTGCTGCCGGTCCAACGTCTAGCCCAGTTATGATGCCCAAGCTAATTGTATAGGTATATCAGAGTTCTGAAGAGCTSTATGGCCACGAGATACGCAAAGCCACTTGACTCAATCCTCGTTGGTACGCACGTCGATGGCTGAATCTATGCAAGTCTGTATGTTTGTTGGCTGCGTGGTCTGTGGATTATCGCTCAGTGTGATCGCTTAATGTCAAAACTAGTTATGCAGCATCCGTTTAATGTCTGTAGAGATGGCCCGGTGGGTCAGCTATTGTCTTTGGTTCCTGTCTTTTCTTTCTAATGATGACAATTATACCAAAGAACGGGTGCAACAAATAGCGATACGATGTTGATTGACGTGGTCTTCTTGCTTTAATAGGTGACTGGGATTTTCTTTATTCTAAATACAAGGTAAAAAAAATTCAGGTTTATTCACTTSAGTTCAACGTCTTCCCACTACAACACTTGTGCAACCTCTCACTGGGAGCGTCTGAAGGCCGCCTGATATAAACTAGCTGTACACCCCGACATTAACAGTATTAACATAAGCGATAAATTTACGACTTACTATGCTTTATGAGCTGCCAATAACACATTAGTGACACCTCATTAAAGCATTCTAACACCTCACAAAAGATTGCCATTGTTCTACTTCAATCATGGGTGCTTACCTTGCATGCATAAGACAGCAGAAGTTAAGTAATGAGGTTTATATTCAACTAGATGTACTCAGTCAACAGTCCTAGTGACCCACTGGTATTACTTTTCACTTTGGAACCTAAATTGGTTCTCTAAAAAAGCGCTCATTTATTTGTAATTAGTACCAAAACATAAACCGAAAAAAATAAAAATACTTGTCCTTCGTGAACRGCCAATGAATGCAAAAGCAAAGCTGCATTAATATATAAATAGCAAAAAAAAAACTTACAAAATACCTGTAAATTTGGTCATATTATTTTTGCAAGGAAAGATTGAATTTCGAAGTTTGATTGAGTGTTTTTGAGTGCAGACAAGAAATTCAAAAAAAAAAAAAAAAATTAAATCAAATAAGCAGGTCTYGATGTTTAGAAACGTACATCATTCGGATAGCGGTCATTGATGATTCAAATCAGACTCTTTTCATCGTCCTATCTATCTCGAGGATCGTATTCCTAAAATACCTCTCGCATTTGAGAGCCTGAAATACTTGACCAAGTCTCGGGAGTATATCTGACATGAACGAAGAATGTGGCTAAAAAGTCYTTGGTGTTTTCCTTTGAATTTTTGACAGAATTCATTTAGTCATTCCATGGGCAGATAATGTCAAGCTGTCTCACTTTTATAAAAAAAAATACTTATTTTTGAAAACGGGAAATCGTCAAAAAATTTGATAATTAAGTGTCTGAAGTGGTCATGCCATGTATCAACAAACACAAGTGGCCAAGACGTCAAAATGAAGTACGACTCACCGAAAGAAAACCCAGCCTTCTCGATCTTAGAATTCCTGTGTTGGCGACGACTATCACAAACCACTACTTCGTTTGAGTTCTGGTTAGTGTGACTATGACTTGTGAATGTTTTAAAGACCAATAACCTATAGCATGTCTGTACAATCTGCCTAATCTCATCAGTTCCTTAAGTGTTTCCCACGAAAGAAAAATATCTGGTTAATAGCTGGATTAGGGAAATTCTTGGTCATAATTGGACTATTGGGTTTTTTTTCTGAGCCATTACTTTGATGTTACGTCTGGGCCTTTAACCCTCATTTGTGACACATAGTTTATTTTACCGCCTTAATGAGGTTTCTCTATTTCCATGTTGAAATACTAGGGATCTGGTGTTAAACTTCCAGCCCCTTTTGTCATTGAGCCTTTAGAGGGACAGAGAACTATTAGAATAGAACGAAAATTGTAAGACAAATCTTTCATCTACATGTCCCAAATGGAACAGCTCAGATAGTGGTGAATAAGATCATTGATATCAGGACATTGCATCCAGATAATCTTTGCTAGATATGTAAATTTTCACCTAGGCTATCGCAATAAATCTAGTYTATTGTGAGTGTATAAATAGCAATGCAAGTGTTGTACATATATATATTGTACCAAAATAAAGGATTAAAAGCTTTTCAAATCCAAACCACTTCGTTCCTCCTCCTATTCTTCCTCAACAATGAAAGTAATTCCGTTTTTCACTCGAGTGAGCCAAAACTGCAACCCGCTCAATAGACCGACACCAGTCTTGGACTCTGATACACAGGTCATCGAATGGTTCATCATTCCCTATCTCAGATGTGAGGCTTTTTCACTAAATGGGGATTAGGGATCTTCAAGAGTTTTGTGTTTGATAAAGCTTGAAGATAGAAGTATGTTTTTTGACTCGAAGATTCAGAGATATGAGTCAAGGCTGCGGCTAGTTCGATAAGCAAAACATTTACCAATCTTTTTTTCGTTTCTCTACATTTTAAAAGTTCATGGGCTTATAGAATCCTGCTATTACTAGTATCTCAGCGACATGTCTAACTCAAAGTATTATTCAATACGACTTACTAAATTTAAACTACTAGTAAATTTTCAAATCTTTGATTCGTTTTCATAACATTCTTACCCAAGCCAAGGTCGTCGAGTTGTCGAAGCTGCTGGTACGAAAATCAGACGTTGATTCCACTAAAACTCAGCAGGAATTGAAGCAACTTATTAAATACACTTAATAAAAAACTCTCCAGCGACACTTTAAGCTCTCTGTAGAATCGTAAGCCCTAATCAAGCGTTTCCGTGCAGCTTAGTTCATAAACCATTTTGATGGCACATTTGCCTTTTATTACGTACGGATTGGTATGTGTTCTAATTGCTTTTCAGTAAACAGTTTCGACACCAACTTTGAAGTATTCCCAAATAACCCCCACATGTTTCTACAGCTAACCATAATTCCCTGGGATTAGAGTTCTACCAGAAATAATCATTTCCTATTTATGTACAAAACGAGGTTGTACAAAGAAAACCGGTCAAGGACTGCGGAATTTTGAAAGCCTTGCGACAACTGGAAAAAACATCAAAATCGTTTGGCAATAGACGAGAGCCATCAATGTCGGCCTTTGTGGATGTTGATGATGAAGATTGAGCTGTCGGCTATTCTATCTACGTCCTTGAAGCGTTTAACTTAATTCCCTTCATGTGTAGAAATAGTTTAATGTGCACATCAGGGCGGTTGGCGGAAGTCAGGACAAATTGGGACGTAATTGCTCGAACAGATGCAGTTACTTGCTTTATAAACATCCTCAGTCTTCCCATAAAAAGGGATTTCGAGGCATTTAGAGGATTTGTTTGGTTCCGTTACCTTCGCTAAGTGCTTCCCCGCCCCGTGTAGCATGCAGACAAGGGACAAAACCAAGTGTTAATCTCATGTGATGAAAAAGAGGCGTGTTCTAGTATGAAGGATTTAGACTAATAAGTTGTAACCGCTTGCGAAGCCGGGTATAACATAATCACAATTTCCTCGACCCTCAAAAAAAGCACCACACAGAAAGCCCCGTACCAATGAATTTTCCATCGTTTTGAGATTGATTTTCCAAAAGTCTTGCGCTTCGCTTATATTGAATGGCTTAAATCATAGTATACATCGCAATTACAGGCTAGACTGACAATGCCTTCATCAAGAGCCATGCGGATGGAGGTCTATAAGGAACGCCTGTACGATTGAAACCTGGTCTTCTAATTAAGAACGATTAAGAACCCGAACTTACCAAAGAAAAACAATAGTGGGGAAGCATAGTGTTTCTCAAAACACCCGCTCTGCATTTGTTTAAATAGGCTTCTTTAATCAAATGAGTAAGTCTTGTTAAAAAACCCTCAAAAAATTCCACTCTACTTATGTTTCGATTTTTGCCATGTGTTGGACTCAAGTGGCAGTGGTTATCAAAGCGGCACGATGACTAAATACCGAATAAATACTTTCTATCATTAAGCTACTGATCGTTCAACGGATTGGCCGATTAACGTTCAACCATGCTACTATACATTCACCCTCAACAGAGGACCGATTAATCATTGTAAGAAGACAGACATGTAAGAGAAAATGGGGCTTATGTTTTTGATCCACTCAGCATCTGTGCTATCTTTTCAAAACACACCATAAGTCGATCACTGGCCAAGGTTTTGCATGCGCGCGCTCTGCACATTGTCTGCACTAAAGCCACAACATTCTGAACTTTTTGCCCTTGATTTGAAGTCGCTCACGTGAAAATAAAATATTTGTGATGTTATGAATTTGTTCAAAATGGCAGCTCTTTAACAATGCCTTTACTGAAGGCGATCTGTGTTGTTTTCTAGACTAGATTGTGACTGTATCTTAATGTAAGCTCCTTCTTATTTCTAAGATGAGCAATAGGGCACCCAAAAAGCATTAAACTTTCAGACTTGCTGGTCATATAGAATTCAATCAACTTCGCTGACCACAGCTTGTAGTTCTATGAGAGCAGCGATCAGGAAGTCTTATAACTGCATCACTTACTTCAACAGACATGCATCAGGTATTTACCAACAGCCACATGAACGTATCCACTAAAGATAACAAACGAAATCTGCTCATGAAAAAATGGATAATTCTTCTAGTAAAATGTGGCGAGTAATGTCCAAAAGTGCGAGGTGCGTAGCGCCTTCCTAGCACCGAAGAATGGCGTCCATTTTTGTACACATTGACTACTGTTTCGTAAAAACCGTTCAAGTGACAAATAACAGACAAATTGACAACTCTACAAGAGGGTTTATGTTTTGCCTTCCAATGAGAGATAGCCTAGCCGCTTATTAGCCATCTATTGCGTGTGGTTATCTGAAATCCCTATATCAATATTATGTCATAGAAGAGAGATACGGTTCCATACAGGTTTAGGAGCGTGGCATTGGTATACTTTACGATAAACAATCAGTAATTTTCGTGATAAAGAAAAAAATTATAATGTGCAGCTAAAAACCCGGTCCAATATGATAAATTGTGTCTTAATCGTTAAGTGTACTAAGAGCGTTGAACGGAAAGTGAGCTGTTTATTAAGGGGATTTTGCTCAGTCATCAGTAGACGTTGAGCCTAGCTTAGAAACATCTTAAGGACGTTAGTGTTTATCCCGCAGGAAACCAATAATAGTTACTGCAATAAAGAACACGTTTTAAACACATCAGAATGAAGCGTCTTGGGCGGTTTGATATCATCACAGCTTACAGAGGATTCGACCATCGTTAAGCGCAATAAAACTCTAAGATATTGTAATAAATAATTTGATATTATTAACCCGCTTAAAAGTGTCGCGTTGCTCGAGTAGGTTTCGTATGGATTTTTCAACCAGTCACGGAAGAAATAAGCGAATACGATTTCACCGAGTAAGTCTGGAATGGACTCTAAAATCAGAGTCTCTCGAACATTGATGCTTTAAAACTCGTAAAATAAAATTAAWTCAAAGTTATGCGCGGGATAAAAGACATGACAGAATTGCCGCGCACACAGAGAAGTCTGCCTTGGTATAGTTTCATAAATGTAAGGCGATAGAAGAGACGCACTACATATAATCAACATATAATCCAATCGTTATTCAAGGAAGCATTTCTCGAGTTAATTTTCCTCTATTCTGTGAGAAAATGTCTATATATTAATAAACCAAATCACCTGGGCGGAGCCGAGGCGGAGGAACTAACAGCAATTAATTAAGTGACTTATCTGCTCGGCAAAGACTTTGAATTGTTCGTTCGCGCTCAATCTTYTGACTGATCGAATGTCAACGCCCTTTGACTAAAATAATTCCTATAAAAATGCAATGTTTTAAAGCTACTCTTCAATACCTGCTAAATTGTTTCGCAGTCGTCCTGTAAATTGCGCTTTTTATTTCTTCAGTTACCGGAGAAAGAAAGAAAAAAAAAGGATTTCTAGACGATTTTTAAGCCATATGTAAAAGTTCTTTCTTGATTTTCACTATGCATTTTCTCCGGGTTTTCTTTCTCTCTATATCAATGCATTTGAACATGTACAAAGCACAATTTAATCTTGGAACAATTGGTTTTCAAGCGACAAGTGTCATCCTTAAGTGTGATTTATTAAATGCTGTAACTTTTTCTTCTTCTTCTTCTTGATGTAATTATGGAAAACTAATCGTTTCAAATCAAGGCCACGAAGGTAGTTTTCATACCACTATAAAATACTTACAAAAAACAAGAACGAATGATGACCATACTTTGCATTACAAGACCATATATAGCTCTCTGACTGTGCAGACTTCTAGTCTATAAGTAATCAACGTGCTAAGATAAGCGCCAATCGATTTAGTATTAGTGGAGCCAAACAGGTATATATACTTTAAGTTCATAATATACATCAAAATATTGATCAACCAGTGCCTCAACATGTTGAATTCAATTCAGTACTTTAAATGTTATATATTAGATATTACTTTGCTGTTGCTAGTCCTTAACTTGATTGTACAGTGTACTATCGCTTAAAAATCGTGACTCTTTTAAAGAAAATTCCTAGCCAAACGCTTCAATATCCAAGAATGAGATGGATAACAGCTACAATAAAGCCAAAAATAGGGGCGAGGTTAGATGAAAATATGGATAGCAGAATACGTGAGAGAAACGCTACACATATGTTTTCCGCTAAAGTTGCGGAAAAATTAAAAGAGACTAAATTGCAGAAAAATATGAATAAAAGTGCAGACTAGCTGAAAACTTAGAAAAAAGTTGATATAGAGAGTAAATAGAAACAAAAAAGAAAAAGAAGTATGATTGACCATATAACTGTCAGTCTGACTCAAATGTATCTAAAAAAAATGTTGTGTTAAATATGTATACACTCTGGGGGACGTTTCTGAGGTTAATTTCGAGGGAGGAGTGACGGAAATTCTAATTCAAAAAGTCAATGAACCTGCCTTACCACAAGACTAAACCTATTCATGTTCCTATACCCTTGCATAAAACTTCATAATCTTCCTTCTCTTTTTAGTTTTTTTTCTAATAGTTCAATGTTATCCTTAGATCTTATTGTCTATTATTACGACACACCCTTTTATATAAGGGACTTGAAAACTATCCTAAAGCAGACCCATTTTTTTTCTTATTGGCTCCACTTTGAAAATTGATCTCTTTAATTGCGGTGACTCACTATTTTACTATCTGAAGGCTGAAGGCAATTTGTTTTTCGATTGTCTTCAATCTTCAAAAACACCTTCAAATTTTATCTATACCCTGAAACAACCTCTGGGTTAACCAAAATCAGGGCACGGGTAGCTAATAAATCGAATTTGAAATTAAGCTTGTTTGGTTTTTCAGAGGAATGAAAACCAGAGAACCTGGAAAAAATCCTTGAATCAAGTAAGGAGAAAAAACTCTACTCACTACATGTAATCACGCAGGAATGTCGGCCAGGAACCTGAGACCCCAGATATTAGAGGAGAGTGTACTACTGCTACGCCACTCTTGATTTAACTGTTCAGACCTCCCTTTGCCCTCTCTTTCCCGCCCTGATATACTTACGTGCATAAGCGAGTGACTTATCGTTAAAGACAAGTTAACTTGTTTGTCTCTCTAGAAGCACTGTCCAAGATTTGTCTATGAAACTAAGTGAGCCAATCCAAACTTTTTAGGTAACAGACGATTAAAAGCCTCCTAAAAACATGGACAGGAGATGTCGTTTGTATAGTAAAGTAATGATTTGAGTGATTTCGCAATCGCTACTTTAGAAAATTAAATGTGCTTTTAAAGGATTAGCGTGATAAAGTAATGCAAAAGGAAATGCAATCCTTTTTTCCTTTTAAAATTTAGTTTTACAAAACTGTTTTCTGTTACCTTTCCTTCTTTGTTTCTTTTTCGATTTTTTTATAAATTATATGTTTTTATAATTAGCTTTTATTCTTCTTGGTTTCTTTCTTTTCCTTTCCATATTCTCGTTCTCTCTTTTTCTTTTTTTCGTTCTTCATGCTTTCTTTCTTTTATATTTTTTCCTTTGCCTTCCTTGTGCCTTCCTTTTTATTCTCATGATTCTTTTGTCAGTCCTTGCCATTTTCCTTTCTTTCTTCTTCTTTTTTTCCGTTTTCATGTTTGAGCGTTAACAGGTTTAATATTTCACTAACAAAACTTACACTTAACTTATCTAGACGTTATGTGGAGGGTGCAAGAGAAAAACCTTAGAGGTTAAACAGGTTCTTGCACCCAAAATGAAACAGAAAAAAATATATATATAAAATGGAAGAAAGAAATTCTTTGGGCGTTACTATACACATTCAAACCACAAAATACCATTCCATTGGTTTTCTTTCTTTCTTTCTTTTTTTTTTTTCGATCTTCTTTCCTTCGTTCGTTAGTTGCATGAATCCCGATGGAGAAAAATCAACGACCTCTCAGTTGCGTAGTCTAAACACCATACTCTCACTAAGATCGAGATTCGAAATCAGTCCAAGAAAATATAACCTTTCAGAAATTACCTTTAAAATGAATCGATTTCCGTCACTAGTAGATTGATTACCTGGAGTACTGCTTCCTTGTTTGATAGCACAGAGCCAAGAACGCACACAAAACTCTTAAAGCGCTGAAGAACTCTCGTCTATAGATTAAAATCATTCGCTCAATAATTCAAATTATTTTGCTTGGTCAAATTTTAATAATATACAAAAACCTTAAACCCCTCTTAACTAAAGTAACTCAAGTATGATCTACACTTCAAAGACATAGCTTTTGTCTGTGATATCTGACGGGCCACATGGTTTGTCACTGAAACAAATCAATATTCCGTGCATCGAAACTGAGAACTCAACCCCCTGACGCACTTTAATATGATAACTTGAATTAATACATAAGGGCGCACGCGAGCTACTAAAATACGACACTAGTGCAACAAACTAACACGTATGGGAGTCAGCTACTATTCCAGCCGCAAGTAGAAGCTCTGCATTTAGAAGTATTTCTCTCACAGCATATTTTTAGAGCTACATTAAGATGATACATGAAAAAATATCGCTCACAGACGACGTACTGATGCCAAAATGAAAGATAGCGTGATGCCAGTGAATGGTTTTAGTGAGCCAGCATCTTGAACCTTAGTTTAATCTTAACTTTAATAAGATTTCAATTTCCTCTTCAGCCGCGTTATCAGAATGACGGAACCCAAAACAAAAGAATTGATGGTTATTTTTCGGCATTAAGAACTTGAGATGTTGAAGTTTTTAGTGGAAAAGGCTTGACCTTGGTAAAGATTGAAAACACATCAAATAATAATACTTTTTGCCCACTTGAATAACTGGAGAGCAAAAGAGTCCATCTTAGTGAGCCTGATGTATTGGGCGAATCATGTTTGACTGCTGTATTTTGCCATAATAATCAAAAATTCGTGTCCTATCGAACAGCACATCACGAGATAGAGTGCACGATTTAAAGTACGACACCGCACGATATCGGGCTAGAGTGACGAATCTAATGTTGTGCAGTGCAATACTAACATTAGTATCATTGTACCACATTAATCATTTAAGGTTGCACTTTTAAAAAGTGTAGCATGAGTGCATCTACATAAGCTATAAAGCAGAGTTGTATAATGTTGTAGAGCAGTGCTACAGAGTGATAGTATCGCACTGTTTGCCCCTTACACACCCTTACAGGATACTACACATACTAAACAGAACTGTATAATGTAGCAGAGCAGTGCTACAGAGTGATAGTATCGTA